TAAATAAAATAAACATTATAACGATTTTTATATAATTATCTATTGGATCACAAAAAGTAAATATAATAATACATATATTAAAAATAAATTACAAAATTTATTCGAGATAAGAAAAGGTAAGAAATATATATATATATATATATAATAAATGTATTACAATAATTTATTTCACTAAATATTGCATAATTAAAAAAAAATACATGAATATATTAGAAAATAATCAAACATCTAAAGTATATAATGAAAATGGATCTTTTCAACTTCATTATCTTATTGTGATATGATTGGAATTGATATATTTAACTCTCTATCACCAATAAACCTGAAAATTTTGTTATAGTCATCAAAACGTTTAGTATACATATGTGAATTTAAAATAAAAATATGAAAACTAATGAATAAATAAGTATATTTTAGTATGGCTTTAGAAATATACAAAAAATAAATACAATGTTAGATATATACATTATAAAATAAATTTAGAATCAAATTCTGGATTTTTAATCCATATAATAACATCAAAATAGACACATAAATATAGTAGAAGAAGATGAGAAAATGATTACCTATAAGATGAATATCTAAAATAGACAATGAAAATGCATCTTTCAAAAAAAAAAAAAAAACTAATGTAAGAACACAAAACAAAAAAATAATTAAGATTTGAGCTATAGTGGAAGAGGGTGAGAGGATGAGAGGATGAGAGAATGAGAAATGAGTATTTATAGTATGAGAAGTGAGATAAGTTACAATTAAAATAAATAAATTAAGGGAGTTATAATTCTAATTTATTTTATGTTGAATAAAATTGAGTGGAAAAATATAGTTAATGTATAATTTTAATGATTTCTGCTTTTATATTAAAGTGTGAGTTAAATATATTTTATTTATAATTTAATTAAAAATAAAATTAAGTTACATTTCCAAATGGACCAATAAGAAGAGAGTGAAACCTTACTTTTATATGTATGATTAATTTCATACAGTTGCTTACGAGATATAAGAAAACGTAAATTCTTCAAATTGTAATTAAGCTTTTTGGATTAACTTTTAACCATTTATAACCATATTGTAAAAATTATTACAATTTATTATGATTTTTTTGTTCGATATTTTTTTAAATAATTTTTGAAATATATTCCCCCGCGACATCGCGGGCGTCCGGAGTCCTACTATTATAAAATAAATATAAAATTATCAATATATAAATGAAATTAAATGTATCCTCTTGTTCATAGAAAAAAACATTTTGGAGCAAGGTGATTTGAGAAATACCATAAGGATCAACAAACAGTTTAAATCTAAAAGATATATAAAAGTAAAAACACTTTGAATCGATTTGAACCAATAAAAAAATAGATGATTTGATCATCTAAAAAAAAAAAAAAAAGAACACCATTGCAAAAACTAATATACGGGTTTTTAAAAAGAGTTTATAAGTGTTAACAAGGATTTTTAAGGGTTTTTATCTACAAGTGTTTTCAGAAGGTGTTTTTATCTACAAGTGTTTGATCATCTACAAGTGTTTTCAGAAGGTTTTAAAAATATTTATAAGGGTTTTTAAAGCATTTTAAATGAAATATAAGGGTTTTAAAAAGAGTTTATAAGTGTTAACAAGGATTTTTAAAGAGTTTTATAGGTTTAAAAGGGTTTTGGAAAGATTTACAAAAGTTTTAAAAGATTTACAAGGGTTTTCAAAAGATTTTGTAAGGATTTTAAAAAGTTTTACAAGGATTTTATAAAAGAATTTGGCGGAAATATTTTTGTCGGAAATTTTTTTGGCGGGAAGAATAGATTTTGACACTATAAATTATTTTGGTGTGAAAATTTGACTTTCTCATTACCTTCTCTCAATAAAGAAGGGTAATTTAGTCATTTAACACATAAGAAGTGGTATTTTAAAAAATAGACAATAAGAAGGAATATTTTGAAAAGTGGCATAGAAAAAAGGTATTTTTACAATATAAAATAAGAAATAAACTCACTCCTTATGGTTCAGCAGATTAAATTGAATAATATTTAAAATGTGAAAAACACTTTCTTAAGTTTTAAAAAGAAAAAATAACAAAAAATAATATATCTTTATAGAATTTTGATTTTAATATACTTGAAAATGTATCCATATTTATCGGATATTTGTTGTTTCATTCGATATTAATATTTGCAAAGTTCTTAGTAAATTACATTAATTTTTTTTATTAATTTTAAAACTATTAATTTTGTAATAATCTTTGTTATCATATAAAAGTTTTTAAATGTTGCTTTTTTATGATTTCATTTGGCCCCACAGAGCACATGTAACTACTCTAGTTAAATATGTATCACGAGTTAAAATTAAAAATTTAACATCATTATATATAATAAAAAAATTCTTTCGGCTGATTATTTTAGAAAAATGTCTCTAGCAAAAACGGTTTATACCTTCGTTAGATGTGCTAAGGTGGCTCTTTTAAATCCATCCTTCTACATTTTGCTTAACCCTTTTTTTAGTCTCACTAATTATTAGGTCTAAAAACGATTTTAGCTTGCAATCCATTAGTTTTTACTTTTTAGAACCGGCTCTAGATATCTGACATGTTCTATTCCCTAAATTTTATTTATAATAATAATAATTTGATATGTTACTTTAAAACGTAATATAGTTATTTTATAATATGTTCCTCTCTTTCATTTTAAGTGATGTTTAAAATTTATTCACATAATTAAAAAATCATAAAATTTTATTTAATTTAGTTTTTTGATAGAAAAACATCATCATCTACTACTTACTCAACCAATAAAAAAACATACTGTAAAATAGAATTAATTAAAAATATAAAATATATTTAATTTTTGCATAGAAAATTAAAAAATATCACTTAAAATAAAATAAAACAAAAAATCTCGAAAACATAACCTAAAGTAGTACGAAGGAGTAAATGTGCTTTATAATCTATTTAATATACTTGATTGTGCCGGAATCCCAATAGCGTTTTCTTAAGTATAGAATTTTGATTGGTAAAGTAAAGTAACAACATATCTCTTAATTTGCCCTAACTTTTTTTTTTTTTTTTTTTGTGCACCAATTTGCCCTAACTAAATTCAAGTTTATCTCGTATCTTCTCAATTAATATAAGTTTGAATAAGGTTGAATTTTATTAGAACTAGGGTTAAATTATTAGGGGTTTTTCTTTTTTTGCTTTATAAATACGCTCTATTAGGTTTCTTTAGCCTCGGCAATTTTGGAGAGCTTATTTCAACCCTTATAACTTGTCTTAGAGCTTTGCTACGCTCCAGATTCATGGCTCTACCGCAAGGTAACGTTCCAGTTAATGAGAACGAGGAGCTAAGAAAGTCTATTACAGATCTACAGGTAAAAGTTCAAAATCTTACCGTAACAATTCAAGAGATGAACGTACATCAAGACAGCGACAAAGATGATTCAGACATAGATGTTTCAAGTATTAACAATGAAGAAAACACACCGTGGGAATTAGGGTTCAAGGTTGAGATCCCTAAGTTCCATGGTGGTCTTGATCAAGCAGAAGAACTTCTCGACTGGTTTGTTACAGTTGAAGAAGTGATGGATTTCAAAAGAGTACCTAATGATCGACGTGTTTCGTTAGTAGCAACATGTTTCCGCGGTCGTGCTGCAGCTTGGTGGAACCAATTGAAAGCTTCACGTGCACGTTCGGGAAACCCTAAAATAGCAACGTGGGAAGAATTAAAGAAACACTTACGTCAAGGGTTTTTACCTTGCAATTACGATAAGATTTTGTCTCGAAAACTTCAAGATCTACGTCAAGGAAACAAAACGGTGGATGAATATGCAACCGAGTTTTTCGCGATACTTAGTCGAATTGAAGTTCAAGATACAGAAACACAATTGGTTGCAAGGTTTATTGGTGGGCTCAATCCACAACTGCAATGTTCTTTGAAATTGTTTCGGCCTTTAACAGTTTATGGAGCACAAGAACTAGCAAGCATATTAGAACAACAAGAGCTTGGTTCCGCGGTTGGAACTGTACCCGAACCTTCAAAAAGCCTTGTACGGAATGCAGCCACTATTTCAAAGGATGGAAACGAAACTCTCAAACTAGGTAAGCCAATAACAGTTGCGAGCATGGTTGAATATTTTTGCTTTGGATTTGCTTCAAGCGTAGGTGTAGTTGGATGTTTCGGCTTGATTGTCATCACGGACAAATTATTGAAAAAAAATTAATATCATTATTTTTGATTCGTTATCGTTTGGAATGATTTTGCAAAGGTGTTGGATCTCTCATATTACGAGTTTTGATTTTATTTTATTATAATAATAAGATGCTTTATTAGTGGATATATGTTAGAAAGCTTCTTGTTCTGAAGCAATTACCAATTCTTTTAGTCAGCAGCTTTGCCCTAAAACAATGGGATTGTAGCTAAAAATATTTTTCTTAAACAAAAACGTATATAAAGAATGTATACTGTTCTCACGTACGTATTGGCTAGAGAATTGCAACTAATAACAATGGATCGTTAAGTGCAAGCGTATCAAAAGTGCAGCTCGTGCAGAACAAACAAGTCATGTATGGGTGCGGGTAAAACAGTGATCAATTAGGCGAAGCTCGCCTGTTCAAGTGACATTTAGAACGAAACTATTATAATATGATATGGTTTCGGGCCTGGATGGATTACGAGTTTTTGCCCAGAACCTCCTGGTAATACAAAAAAAAAAGAAAAAATTATAAAAAATAAAAAATAATTAAAAAAAATAATCAAAGTGTGGCTTATGTTTTAAAAACATTCAAATAATTGGAATATACTTTTTAGTGTAAATTGTGTAATTGTGATAATTGATAAAATATGTCAGTCTTGGTTAGAGTAATGTGGCACATCTAACACAATCTTCTCATAGACCTCTCTTGTGTTCTTGCCACTAAAAGTTTTTATTGTGGCAAACCATAATTTTAATGGTGCCATTGCTTTTTTCATATGAAAAATATGTTCTAATGTATGTGTGCCAACTTAACCAGCTCTAACAATGCATTAAAACTATATGCTTATTTGTTCGGGAATACGATTAGAGTACATTAAGGTTACCAAAAAAAAAATATTGAAGTACATTCGCCATAACTAATATTCTTTGTTCATTGTGACTTCATCTTTGCCTCAAAGCTTAATACTGCAAAAAGATTATTCCAAATTAGAAAATTTAAGTCCTAATTTATTATTGTCTTTAGGAAAATTATATATATAATAACAGCGCAATATCGTTTTTTTTTTTTTGATATACCCAATCGGCTGATCCGGTCAGCTTCGGGGGGAACGCACCGAAGTGCTACCATATGGACTCGTCGCCAACACCTTGGTGTTGGACTACCACACTGCCTAACCCCAAGATTGGAATGTTTTCCGACTAATGCCCGGGGGTATCCAGTTAGTCTGATCCCTGATACCATGTGAATTGTTTGGGCCAAGGTCCAAGTCCAAACTTCCCACACAAATGTGATTTTTGTTTACAGGGTGGATCGGACCTGAGTTAGTATTTTTTTTTCTTAAACAGCATGCGAGATACAAGCACTAGCTAGTTTACGAATACCAGTTTTGGCCTTGCATTTATTTTCTACCAAAAAGCCAAAAAGTGTATCTATATCCTATTTTTCATTATCAAAAATGAGTTGTAAATAAAAATATGACATCTAGATCCTTAAATGTGTAACACAAGCCGAGAGACATTGAAAATAGTTTACAAGCTATTTCAGAGAAAAACACTTATAGAAGATTTTACTTTAAATTACTAATCCTATATTTTTTAAAATACATAAAATTTCACATAACCATCAATTTTATAGTTCACAAAAAAAAAAATAATAAATAAAAAAAAACCATCAATTTTATAACCTTCTCATCAGAAATTTATTTACAAAGAAAATCTAAAAGTTCTATCGAGATAGTGCAAACAATTCAAAAAAAAAAAAAAAAGTATGAAAGTCCTATGTACCTGTCACAATCAATTTTGGGGTCAAAAGGCACAGCATTAGGAATGACACATTTTTCCGGCATACCAATAAGTTTTGTAAATCGAGAATCTTTTAAAATTTCCTGGAAACATTTGCAAAGCGCTATACGACCGTAGGTTGTCTCTGCTTGTCTGTTTACATCGTTTATAGCATAGCAACAATCTGCATGTAGTAGTCCATTAACGGTGGCTTGTTGCAAGCATGCACTTATCACTTGGCCTTGCGCCATTACACAGTGTCTATCGCCATTCGGGTAACTCACCATTTTAGCATTTAGAGTTGGGGATAGAACAACCAATAAAGTGATACAAAAAACAAAGATTGATTTGCTCATGTTTGCTTGATTTTGATTTGGATTTTTAGGGTGTAATTTGGTTCATTTATAAGAAGACATGTTGAAGTTATTATGCCTAGATTTTCTAGAAAGTGAAAGCAAAAATTTTTGAAAGTTGCTTTTTGTTTGTTAAAATATCACCAAAATTGCTAATAATCCATTTAGTAATTAAAAAAAAAATCTATTGGATCACCATGCAATTAATTATTAAGAGATATATATAGGAAAATCTAACTCAATATTCTTTACCAATAATGATTTTATTTAAATTGTACTCTAGCATTGATAATTTACTTAAATTAGTAAAGAAATTCATAGTCAAAAGATAGCTAAGAGATTTTGTAGAAAAAAATAAAAAGATAGCTAAAGACAAAGAGATATGGAAACAAAATCTAGCACAAATGCACAATAACATTATTGTTGGGGTAATTTTCGGGTTCCAATATAAACGTGATAGACTGGAGATTACTATACCGGAACCCAGCCCCGGCTCAGATGGGTAGGTCGGAAGTGCGATGGCCCGGGGCTTTTTTTTTTATAAAAAAATTTTACATATAAAAAGGCCCAAATATTTTTTTTAAATATTATTAATATGAGAATTATATTTTAAGAGGCCTAATTATTTATAAGAAAATATATAAAAAGGCCCAAAATTTTTAAAATAACAATTTTTACTATAAAAACTCCGCAAAATTTTTAAAAATTAAGTAAATTTTCTCTTTGTATATAATAATAAGCCAAAAAAATTTTTTTTGCCCTAAGGCTCTCAAATATATTGAGCCGGGGCTGCCGGAACCTATTACAAAAGGTCGATGAATTATTCATAGGGTTGGACACAGATATCCTTTACCCATATTCGACCCGTTATCCGTCTCGTACCCATTTAAAAAGACAAGATACCTGTAACTTTAGGGTCGAGTAAAAGGTATTGTAATTCGTTTTTTTGGTTATTGTAATTCTATTATCTGTAGGTAAAGGTCCAGTATCGAGTATTTTTTTTTTAATACCCGACCCGTTATTCGTTTTACTACCCGACCCGTAAATATACTATTTATTAGTGTTTTATAGTATTATTAAGAATTTATAAATATATCCTAAAGTGAAAATTAAAGCCTAAGTTTGTAAATTTTTATTTTCTAGAACTATATGTTGCATATGATTATGAATTTTTTCCTTTTCTTTTTCCTGTAAAATTTTTTTTACACATGGAAATATCAATAATTATGTGGGCAAGAGTAAAAGCTAGGATATCAAGCAAGTCATATATGTTTACCGGATACATGGTCTGAGTAAAAATAATTTTTTTTACTACTAGTAAAAGTCTGGTCGAGTAAAAGGTAATTCAAAATTGAAGGATACCCGTCCCATGCTTATATAAGAACTTTGCATTCGCAATTTACGGGATATTTTCTATAATTTGCATCGCATTCTAAGTAGATGGACCAGATTTTATACATTCTTTATTCGATACTCAAATGTGGTTTTGACAAAATTACTTTATACTGCCTTAGCTTATGAGATATTTTCCCTCTTGAATCGCAACACTTTAGATCGACCGTCATAGATATGTAAAGCATTCAATCACTAGTGCATATGTTGATCCTCAAATTTAAAAGATTGTTCCGCAAGAACGGGAATAATATATCTAAATTCCACCCAAAATAAAATCATAAGAAAACGAAGTCATGAGATAGTTAAAAGTCAAAAAGGATTTGATTTCTAATGATCGGCAACCATTTCAGATATGGTTAAAATGGCTCATGAATGTACCATTTCTCTCCCACGATGAAAATTATGTAAGAAGACTTCTTGCAAGGTGCTCCCGAGCTGTTGCCAATGCTTGAGTTAACGTCTACAATTCAAAATGCACAAAATGGTCAAATGCATAATTGATATGAAGACTACCGGATTTACTCGAAAGTAGTTGTAGTACTGGCATATAGCATCTCACCTGTTCAGAGAGTGAACCACTTGCTTCTGCGCTTTGCATTGCTACTTTTCCCGCAATAACATTGGCGTCTGTTTCGAGTACCATCCTGAACATGTTTCATAAGACAACGCCAAACATGAATATCACAGAGATAGATGTCCAAATAAGTAAACTCATTATTTCAATTCACCAAAGAATTACACTTAAGTAGAGAGTAGAGACTTCATTAAGGAGAGAAATCTATAAACTCTCAACCCATGCCAAACCAAAAGCCTCAACAAATCCAGAATGCCCCTAATGAATTCTCTAAGTTGTCTTTTAAAACTTTAGCTCTCAAGTCTCAACTAACCGACATAAGGTCTGTTCCTGAGCTGGTAAAGCTACATATCCCAGCACCCCTTAGGCTAGCTACAATAGTTCTGCACTAGACTTAACAAGAACGCCTTACCACACGGTCTGAAGTTGTTCACCAATGATCAAACAATAAGTTCTCATAGTCTCTACATACCAGATGTCACTATGTTCGTAATTTAACTCAACTCCATCAGCATATTAGAAAGCTAATTGCTAAGATATGAAGGGCAAGCTGAAGTAAGCAATGTTTTATCTCTACCCACCCATGTTTAAGAGTTACATATAAATATAACTATTGTGCAAGGCTAAAATGATAGATTTTCGCAATCAATAGAGTCAAAAAATTGTAGAATAGTATTTGAAAGCATATGTAGCATACCCTTGATCAACCATCTCATCAAGGCACAAAAAGATGAGATCCAAGTTTTCAAGGGCTTCCATCTTTTCAACATTGTTCCTGAAAGGAGAAAGGATTCTGAACGTTAATTGCGTATATAGCAGATCAAGAAAAGGCACATAGTCATTTGTTAAGGTGGGCTAAATACCTCAGAAGTAATGCAACAGCATCAAAAAAGCCTTGAAGAACAGATGATAAGACGAGCTCGTTTTCATTTTCACCTCCGGTAACAAAGAAATGCAGATCCTGGGCAAACTTATAGACAACAATATTATTCTCCAACAGTGTGATCTCCGCTGCAAAAAGTAGACATTGTAAATATATATTATACACACCTACAAGTTGTCTGAAACAGAAAATATGCACATATGTAATCATTAATCAGGAAACCCAATAGACAGCCAACAAGCAAATATAAGCTGAGCTTACCCATATTTGATATAACATACAGAGAACTACATATTTAGATAATGTGCATGTGTGGAAGTTTCAATTTGGTCTTACCTTCTGTGCGAGCATTGGTTTTAGAGGTCTTCGAGAAGACATATTTTTCAAAAGCTAACTTGGCAGCATTAGTTGTCCAATCATCTGAGTAATACTTGACAGCCACACGCTTTCCTTCAGAGTCTAGAAGAAGAATGTTCTTTACCAAAGGACAAGAATCCTGTTCATTGTAAATCAGACAGTCAGCATGTAAGAATTAAGAGAGAAGCAGATGCGAGAATCCATAAAAAGATCATGTAAGGTTGAACTTCTACAACAGCAATGCAGAGAAAGATCTCCAGTCCAACTACCACCAATCGTATGGACAGTTACACGGGGTCCAAAGCCTAAGTGCCTTTAGTATTTGTAGCGGCCAACCAAATAAAAAAGCTATTTCAGTTACTCATCATCTATGGCTTGACCAACTGGACCAATCAAACCTATGGTGGTAAGAAAACTTGGGACAAAAGATGATACAAGCTTTAGTAAATTCAACGGACATACAAAAACATGACACAGCAGACAAATGCCTGCTCCAACAGATAGAATCCAAATTATTTTGTATCAACAAACAAATGAAGAAATTGCACAAAAGCAGATCCATAAGCAACTGGAATTTTCTCAGCAGCGAAAGAACGTTTACAGCAATCTACTAGAACTTAGGTTTTAAGACTGTAACAAACCCCAATTATGCTTCCAGAATGAAAGATGCGAACAATCTTTGACAATGAGGCATGAGGGTATGAATCTAAGATTGGTCACACTGTCCGAAAACATTCTTACCCACTCAACAAAAGCAAAAAGAAAAAGCAATCTTAACATGACTATTTTTATACACAAACAAACGAGTCTATCACCACATGACAGCTTCTCAACTCAAGAAAACTATCAAAAGTTTCATTACATCACAACGCAACGAATTGCATAAGAGTAGCAAACCATAAAATATCACAAGACTATTAATTTCATTCGGTGAACACGATCGCAGGAGAAACTAGCAAGGCAAACACATACAGAAAAACAATATACTATTCTCACATTAAACATTATTCAACGAGGTAAGAAATGTACTTACATTAGTCCCTGCCATTGTTGTTGAACCAAGATAAACCTGCAAATAGCGATAAGTTAAGTAATATAAACCACTAAAAACACATACACACAAAAAAAAAAAAAAAAAAAAAACCATTAGCACTGAATACACCAAGATCTAAGAAGATAGTTATAGATCATCAGGTCAGGTCTTGAAATTATGGTTTCTACATAATTCCGAGCAAATCTAAGAAGATAGTTATAGATAAAACTCAAATTCGTTGAAAAAATCGGATCAAATTCAAAGAATCGACGAGAAAATAAACAGATCTACGAAAAAAACGAACCATATCGAGAATTAAGATGAGATCTAACGATCAAACACAGATATTTTTCTCCGATCAAAGATTTAACAGAATCAAATTCAAAGAACAGCAACTTAATCACGATCGGACGAAAAAACTGAAAAGGAACTCAGAAATCTACCTTGATCACGGTTGAGAGATTAGAGAGAATGATTTTAGATTGTCTGAGAAATTTGGAATCTGAATAGTGAAGAAGATGAGGTCTTTGGGTATTAATTTATAGAAAAGAGAAGAAGAAGACGACTCGGTCACGAGAAAGCTGAAGAAATAGCTAATTAAAATTTGATACGTGTGTAAAATAATTCCAACTATTTAATATTTGCTAGAAAAAAAATTTAAGTTGTCAGAAAAAAAAGTCACTAATTTACTGTTGACAAAACAACACGGACTATTTTTTTTAAAAGTATCCGTTACGGACGTTAACACCGTCGTTGACGCTGTTACTATTTTTTGAGAATATTCTTGAAAAAAACCCAAATTATTTAATTTTACCAGAAAAT